ATAGGCCACTATACCTAAATTGAAGCCTTTCCTTTATGGCTTGGAGATTTTTGACTTTCACTTCTTCAAAATATTTCGACCGGAATTAAATTAAAAAATAATTAAATAAAACTATAAGGGTTTCTCGTTAGTGAAGTTGAGCATTGACCTGCGTCATTATTATTATTATTTCAAATGGCAGACTTTATGATATTTATCATTAGTCCCTTAGTTGACCTCAGCTTTCCCCATGGAGGGAGGGGGGTACATATATAGCAGTTAATTAATAGCAGTTCATTAGTTGTCTTCTGACTTCCCAGTATCTCTGGGTTTCCGTCGTTATCTCTAGGGCTGGACAACGAATAAGGTGGGTCTTCTCCATTTCCTCCTGTAGGTTACATAGGGGGCATGTGGGTTGAGTGCATACTCCCAATCTGTGAAGGTGTTTTGCCAGGCAATCGTGTCCGGTACGTAGTCTAAACTCAGCAACGGTTTCGATTATTGGCCAGGCGGCCACTGTCCGCTGTTTCTCCTTTGTTCAAGCTTTAAGTTCGTTGCATCTTGAGGTCTTGAATTCTCCCCTGCATCGTAGATCAGCACTGAATCGGTAGTTATTAAGAGCAAATTTGTATCTCAATTTGCGCCGATTAGAGTGCCGAGCGACCGTTGCTAAATACTGACTTCTTGATTGCAGAGAGTGCCTAAAATGAGCTGAGATTTAGGGCATGAATACTTGATCTGCTGGATTTGAAGCCTTAAGAATGTTTAAAATAAAAAAATGAGTCTGAAATGTTGATTTTATTATGGGTATAGAAAACGATAAAAAAATTACAGTGGATGATGAAGTAACATTGGAAGGCGAAAGTTAGCGACACAGGAGTCAAGTCGAGGCCTTACCCTTCTTTGGTTTGGTTTGGAACCTCTTTCAGCACAAGAGTAAGGTTAACGAAAACGAAGGAAACTTGGGTGCTGATAACAAGTTGAGGATAGTGGTGAGGCAAGCTTACAGAGGCGAGCCAGTTTATTACTCAGACAAAGCTGGCAATGTACGACTTCTCGTTGTCGGAAACTATTCACAGGGTTTGTGGGGAGATATATTTATATCAAATGGCAGGCATTTTGATAGTTATCATAAGCCCTTTAGTTAACTTCAGGCTTCACAGAATGGTTATCATTAGCCCTTTAGTTGACTTCAGGCTTCACAGAGACAGACACAATGTTATAGAAAATGTCAGCATGGGTAATATGTAAGTGGTCGAATTTGACATACAGTGGGATCATGGTAGTTTGAAGTCAGAAGTCAACTGCCGGTTAAAAGACTTTTTTGTCACATGAGTATACGTTTCCCAGGCTGCACCACGCGGAGGTTGGTCTATGATACACCCCGTGTATGCAGAAGCAAATCTAATAGAAACAGCCGGTCAAAATTTTTTATGGTTGGTTGATAAAAGCCGTTCTATAATTTAAAAAGTTATTTTATGAGATATACATTAAAAACCACTCAAATACGGTAATTATAAAAATTATTTTCAGTTATATTGATTTCTTTAAATAAACTAAATCAATCAACATTTTTTAAATTATGGGTTCAGCATTATGCGTTTTGTCTTCCGCGCATGTCATTTGCTTCCAAAGTTACTTTTGCGCTTTCCTGTGTAACTACTGTTGGCATTATTGCATACGTTCATATTGAGCAAGCGTTAGAACGAGAGGTAAATTTTGATCATTCTCTAACAAATCGAAATAGCGAATCAGTGCCACCGTTCGACGGGAAATTGAAGAAACCAAGTCCCTTATAAAGGATCGGATTGAACCAGAGTAAGTTATATTCTTTACACTTTACTCCCACAGAATATCTCAATATTCTAGCAGTCCGTCCGATTGACATGGAAAAAACGCAGCACGTTTTAAATATTCGTATTCCTTTTCCGAATAAACCCGCCTCCGAAATCGCCTATCGAACCCTAATTGTCGATGATGAACCTCATCGTTCGACAACGAACGTTTCCTTATCTGTAAAAGATAATATTCTTTGCATGAACTTTACTGCTGATATTTCTGACGAACCCAAAATGGATTCTCTGTCTCAAATGAAAAAACTTCGTGTGTCTGTCAATCACTGGCTGGATTCTGTCTCCCTTATTTGTGAGACCATGGCAGAATTTGGCGACCCTCCTGCGGATATGCCTGAGCCTGTTTGTGCCATTACAGGCAAAGTGGATTCCATTTAATGCTTTTATGGTTTAATAAATTATTGGTACTCGACCGCGTCTTGTCTTTATTGCTCGTACTTTATGAGTTAGCATCATTCTTGAAATACATGCTTTCCCTTTTTCCAGATAATGACACAGGAACTTGATGGCTTATTCATTAGTGCCGCTCAAAATTGTTCTGACGGGATTCGGGGTCTAATGGATGCTTTTTTCGGATTTCTGTCACGAAGAACCGACTTCTACTATGGTGCTGCAACAAAAAATCAAGCTAAAAAGATTGTTCTAGATGCTTTCAAGAAATATGAAGCTGAAGCCATTGCTAGACATGAAAAGGAATTGAAGGAAAGCGAAGAAAGAGAAAGCAAAAAGGCTCGAGGTGAGCTCTTCCCTTTTTTGCATCAAGGGATGGCATAGTATTAGTGGATTCTGAACTCATCTTAGGGAGTCAAACTTAGTCAAAACAACGTTTGTTCTTTACTCAATTAAGATTGCGGGTTTTTCATGCAAGTTTTACTCCTGCAAATATCAGCTCTCAGGTATCCGGAAAGGCTAGATCAGATCAAATAGGGTCATTATATATGAATCACACTGGAAAATGCATGCTTATTTCTATCAAAATGCATATTTTTCCCAATCATAAATATTGTTAGAGTCCAATGAAATGATGAAAAGGCGCATTGAATTCGAGGAAGTTAAAGATGAAGAACCCAAAGTGGAAGAAAGCGAGGGCTTAGAGCAGCTTGGCACAAATGCAGATAAAAGCCAGGAAGCTCAAATCGATGAACACAAAGACTCCGCGAATGATTCATGCAAAATCGGTCAGCAAAACCCAGCTGGCGATTCAAATGATGACGATTCAAAATACCTGCAACCAAATGAGGGAAATGGAGCTGATTATGCGCGCTATCGTTTCTTCCAAACCCTTCAGGACTTGGAACTTAGAATTCCAACGGGGGTAAGTATTTCTAACTGTCTTTTTGACAGATTTTGCGTTGTGTTTTAATCATAAATTAATGGTCTGCTATACCATTCGCCAATATATGCGTCGTCATTAATTGATAGATAGTTATATTCATGATAGTTATCATAGTTGACTTCGGGCTTCACAGAGGGGAGGAACTGCCAAAGTCACAAAAAGTGGAGAGGGGGAACAGACAAGTGATTCATAAATGTAGGGGAGACAGACGCAAAGGTTGAGAAAAATGCTGCTCTTTTTTGGGAAAAAGATAGTTTTCTTATCTTTCACTTGATTTATAATTTACTTAATAAGAGGCTCTGTATTTTAAAGTATTTCCCTAATTGAGGGATATGATTAATTCCATTTAGCCTGACAGGAACTAGTTAAGAGTGTTTAAAAGACCCCATAGATGGGGGGGGGGACACCCTTACTAGGTCAGATCGTTTTATGTGATGTCAGGCAGACTATTTTTTTTATATTATATCAAATGGAGACGTTTTGATTAGTTATCATTAACCCTTTAGTTGACTTCAGGCTTCACAGAGGGGAGGAGGAACATCAAAGTGAAAAATGGTCGGAAGGGGGGGGGAACAGAAGAGTGATTCACAGATGTAAGAGACTGACTGTAAAAGAGAGAAAAATGGTGAGGTGAGTACTGTTTAAGTCGTGGAATATGACATAGAGTGGGGTCTTGGCAGTTTTAAGTGAGAAGTCATCTGTCGGTTTATAGACTTTTTGCCTTGTGTGAGTATACGTTGTCCAGGCTGCATATCGTGGAGGTAAGTCTATCGCACACCCCACACATCTCCCTAGCTCCGAATTTCAAGAAAGCCGGTTTGTACCTCTGACGGGGGATTTTTTGTTTTTGAGAATACGTCTTTTGAGGTTGTTGATCTTTTGGCTATTCAGTTATGTTCTCATGGTAATACTTCTTTTTCAGAAGAACATTTCTTGAGGCAGCAACTGCCAGAAAAAAACATGTTGAGAATATTTTTTAAACATATTCTATCCTTCTTTTATTTGATCAAAATAATGTGTTACTTATAAAATTGATTATTTCTCCCAATCTCAGTTTTGTAAAACGCTATTTTTTATCAATTTCCATTTTCGGTCAAGTTTTAGGGTGGATGGATATCTCAAGGTGTATGGACCAAATCCAAATTTGCGTTTAAAAATTTCGCATGCTTTTACTTAATGTATTTACTCTAAATTCTTTTTTGTCACGTTCTCCACTTCCTTTAATATACTTCGATGTGACTATACTTGGCATTGGCGTTGTCATGGCCATTGCGTTTGTGTCTACCCAAGCAATCACAATTTATACCCAGTTACTAAAGTGGGTTCTAGTCTCTCCCTGTCCCAAGGCCTCGGTGACAGTTTAGTTATCTAACAATTAGAGTTCACGGTACTTAGATTTATCAGCGCATGTCTAATGTGTGATTGGAATAATCGGTAGGCGTATTGCTGATCTTTCTTTTATTTCAAGAATATTTGCAACTTGAAAATATATTTTTTCCCTTTCAGTTGAACAATCCCATCAAAGGCCGTGATGTGATAGTGGAAATCAAACGGAAACACATAAAAGTTGCCATTAGAGGACAACCAGAGCCCATTTTGGAAGGTCCACTTTATGGTGAAGTGAAGGTGCGTAAAATTATATAATCTCCTGTTCCGATGGGGTAGCGATCATCAATAAGTACTTTGTGTAGTTAGTGGTCACGAAATCGATACTCATCAATGACAAGACTTTCTTGAGGTCTTAATTATGATGTGCCTTAGCCATGAATCTCTGTGTTTGCTTTCTATTTCTCTTTGCTTACTGATTATATTCAAACAACGCCTTGGGATAAGAGAATATTAACGACTTCACAATAGCCCAAAGCGAAACCTTAGTTGATCCATGGCTCCAAACAATTTCCCTGATGGATCCACCGAACTGACTTCACTTTGTTTGGCTCCGTGAGAGCGCAATCCAAAGTTAAGTTGTTTGAATGTTTAGTGAAGCCTTAACCCTTTAGCTCTCGAATTATTTATTGCAAAATGCACCCAACCACATTCACACGTGTCTCACAGCAGGCTGATGCCGCCCACATGGTATCAGACAAAGGCTATAAACACGTATTGAACATGTTTCAAACGGCAATAGTGTTTTCTCTTATGAGTCTAGTACCAATGGAGCCTACTTTGAAAGAGGACAGTACGGTCCTAACGACGTTAAAGAGTCAAGTCAGTTGCCATCTGACAGTCTAGTTGCTATTGTAAAACGATCGCAATATAGATGCTTGGCCCCACTGAGGTCTAAGTAAACTTTCCTACTCCTTCGAGTGAAAATTGTGATCATTTTGCAGTGAATGGGGTCATTTTCTTTATCTAATACTTTATTGTCTTTGGTTGGCAATTGGAAAGATGTTTTAATGTGAAAATAACTAGGAAAGCCCTTTATTTCAAAAATGGACTGTGATTGAATCACGTTTCTCATCATTGAGGCTCATTAATACTTTCATTCCAGCCAAGATGAGTAGTTAAAAACACCTTCATAAATTAATTGGGTAGAGGAAAAGTATCCCAGAGTTGCTCTTGCAAGAAATTCACTTTCTTCCATCTTGTTGACCAGAATTAACCAATTCACCACTGGTTGTGGATCAGTGGCTATTGACTTCATGATCTCTGATCTGTCAGATATCCACATTGACTATTACTCCACCGGATTCGTTGTTCTCTGGAATTTGTTACAACCAGAAGAGCCTTGATTTATTATATCATTTCTTTCCCTTAATTTTTCTAGGTAGAGGAGTCGACCTGGACTCTGGACGGTGGGAAAGTAATTGTTGTTGGCTTGGAGAAGATTGATCAAATGTCTTGGTGGTCATGTATTGTCAAAGGTGAGCCTGAAATTGATATGAAGAAGATTACGCCGCATAATTCCAAACTCAGTGATTTGGATGGTGAAACCAGGGGCATGGTTGAGAAAATGATGTACGATCAACAACAAAAGTCCATGGGGAAACCAACCTCAGATGAACAATTGAAGCAACAGCAGTTAAAAGCTTTCATGGACGCACATCCAGAAATGGACTTTTCTAAATGCAAATTTGGTTAGCCCTGCGCAAACCCTTTCCCTGTGAAATCGAATGTTGCTATTGGCTGTTTATAGTATCAGTTTTAACTATACTACTTATTAAATATGAGTAGCTAATTTGACGATTGTTTTGTTATTGAGAAGCTGGTGGAAAAAATGTATTGGGCAGTATAGATAGGTTTTAATTAAACTCACTTAGTGGCGGTGCCATTACACATTGGTGATGTTAGGGATAAGAAAAGAATATCTAGTGGAAATAGGATCCCACCGACTTCATTAATTAGTTCGGTTGGCCACTTCAGTTATGTAAAGCCACTTGGTTGATATATATGTATATTAATCTAAAACTGTAAATGCCACATTGAATCTTCTCTCTAAGTGATATGAAAAATACATTTCTTTCGACTTCGTTATAAAAGTGGAAAGCTGAGCCTCTGCCACTGTCCTACATCCCCACTATTTGTCGACGTGGGTAGTGTTAACTCCTTCCCAGAGAGAGAGAGAAAACAATTGCTAAGTTACTGGGGTTAGCATTATTACTTCAACAATGAGGGTCAACTTGAATGAAATTCGCTTTCATACGGTAAAAGTTTGGAGTTTAAAGCACCTCCATCAGCTGAAAAGGGAAATTTGCCAATTTCGGTGAAGGCACTGAAAGACTAATTCTAGTTAGGAGATAGGAGGTACGTTCAATAATTTATAGTAAATGGCTGGCTTTGTGATAGTTATCAATAACCCTTTAGTTGACTTGGGGTTTAACCGAGGGGAGGAATATCAATGTCACAAAAAAAGTGAAGATGGGGAATAGAAGAATGATTCACAAATGCCAAGGAGACAGACAGACCAAAAGGTTGAGAAAAAGGTAAGGTGAAATACTGAGGAAGTGGTGGAATAGGACATGCAGTTGGGCCATAGTAGTTTGTAGTCAGAAGCCATCTGCCAGTTTGTAGGCTTTTTTGCCCTATGAGTATACATTGCGCAGGGTGCACCACTTGGAGATAACACCAAAATGCACCCCACATCCATCGATAAGGATGGCCGCTTGTACTTGCTAATTCTGATCAACATTAAGAATGGCTGAATACGAAGTTCTCAAGAGAATGGCTCTGGGATTTATTCCCTTACCAAACGTAAGTGTTGCTTATTTTATTTCAGTCTGTTGAAGGAATCAAACTGTTCATGCCTGAGAGAGGTTAAATTACTGAAATTAGATTTATTGTTCTATTTTTTCTTCCTGGGATGTGCGATAGACTTACCTCCACGTGGTGCACCCTGGGCAACACATACTCATATGGCAAAAAAGTCTATCAATGAGCAGTTGACTTCTGACTTCAAACTGCCATGATCCCACTGTATGCCATATTCGACTACTTCCACAGTACCCACCTCACCTTTTTTCTACCTTCGTCTTTGAAGCACTCTTCTGTTCCCCCCTCTCAATCTTTATCTTCTTTGATGTTCCTTCCCCTCTGTGAAGCCTGAAGTCAACCAAAGGACTAATGATAACCATCAGAACGCCTGCCATTTGAAATAAAATAAATTTTTCTTCCTTTATTCGTATGACTACCGACGAATCCCATTTTAGTTTGATTGCTCTAATTGAATGTCTACAGTTGTTAACTGAATTTAGGGAAGGCTTAAGCACACACACACACACACCAGGATTCAATATGACCTAAGCTAGAAGTGTGGATAGTAATTGACTGGGTTTTAGAGGCCTGAAAGGAACTTGTTAGTATTCTGTTTCAGACCTCTCCAATGAGTAAAGAAATCGAGACAAAGAACCGGTAGACTTTGAAGATGGAGCCGCTGATGGCATGATAAACCCCTCGATTTGGATTACCAATAAGGACGATATTCAGAGATGGTCTTCTAATGAATGCCGACCTACTAAAACCTCTATTGCCCATAGATTTGTACCATTACTAATATTTGATATAGTCCAGCCAAGAATTCAATATTTGAGATTGAATCAGTGGTTGAGTACTCGCTTCTGAAGTTATTAACAAGTTAGTAGGGTATATTTCAAATAGTATTATGCTTTTATTATGTTACAAAATGCTCAGTCAACAAAATGACGAGATTTGAAGATATTTTTTATTTTTAGCAGATTACAGTGGTACCTAGCGTAATTTAAAGCATAAAAAGGTAGATAATGAGCGCGTTCTTTCAAAAAGAAGAGCCAAGGTCTCCAAAATACTCCTCTTTCGCTAACTTCTAGACTTGAAAGCGATCGGAAGTACCTTTGTATGCATTTTCTCCAAAAACTAGCGAATGTTGCATTCATATTGAGGTTTGGGTTAAAACTTCTCGTTCGATTTTGCAGTGAACATTCTTCAATACCTAAAGTTGAAAACAAAGAATTCCGTTATTCAGACATTCATAGTCACGTTCGTGAATAGCTGAAATAACATTTTCTTGCAATTCACTATGAGGTAATTTTGTGATAGGATGATACGCGCGTGGGCGTCATTATCTCGCACAGACCTCAGCGCCCAATTAGAAAACGCCTACTTACAGGCTTACTTTTATTGGCTTCTGTTGAAGGCAATTTATAAGATTAATAGCCAATCCCTATGCTAAGCCAATAGAATATCAACGATAGGATCGTTTTCATTTGAATGTATAATAGCGGCAAAAAGTTCAAGGTTCATTGAATTTAAAAAATATCTGAAAAGTAAATGAGATTGCAATGAAGAATAGGATTTTCAAATGTTCTTGAATAATTTTATTATTCATTAAAAAGACAAAAATGTTAGTAGAGTGCATTGCTGAAGGAACAATAATCTAATTATCACCCCCATTAAATTGGGCTTAAAAATTACGTAATGAAAGTCGTTTTACTTCGCTTTGAACTACCATTGTAAAATAAATATAGTCGAAACTTTAAATGCCTGAAAGGCAGTATATCGAAAAAATCAATGAAAAACTGAACGTCCTAAAATGTTGTAAATGAAAAGAGACACAAGACTAATTGGAGCTAATCAAAACATAATGAACTAAACTTTGTGAACTGTGTTACGTTGCTCAGAAAACTAGCTTAGTTAAATGGAGACTTTGCAATTTGAGTGAGGCGTAATTAAATCATTAAAAGTAACTTTTAAATCCAAAATTGCAACAATTTTTAAATTAAGCGCAAAGGACATAAAAATTCAGTACCCGGAAAACTTCATGAGGATACCATGTTCCATAGTGAAGTTTAGGTGGTGAACCATTGACAACACAGTCCAAGCATGTTTGTCCATGAAGAGAGAACCACAAAATCCGAACCTGTTGGCCATTCTCATTCTCCAGACAGAGGGCAAAGGAGGCCAATGCTGATATTGAGGTCCAAACCTTTCCACAATCCTAGAAAACAGGATAAATAAGGTAGAAAAGGCTGAAGCCTTCAAACATTAACGCAAAAAATCTCAGCTTTTTTTAAAGCGTACTGTGCAGGTGAATCGAACTTTAGCCGTTTCCGTTGCTCCCCATATACAATTGCCGGAAGGGATTTCACTGGGGGAATCAAACGGTCTTAATCGCCATATTAAGTTAGTTGGGTACACAAATAGTCGATAGAAGGTGCCTATCCAGACGATGTGAATGCTAAAATTAAAAAAAGCGAGTTATATGATAATTTTAATTGATCCTGCAAAACTTTCCACCACCGAGAACGCACTTTTGCTGGAGCCAGAAGTAGAAGTTTTCTCCAACTTCCCGACTAACCTCTGACGAGGAAACAGGCAAAGAAAGGAGACCAGCGACATTGCGTTTCTCGTAGACGTAGAGGTAGTCATTAATGCAACTCTCACACGTGCAAATGGTGGGCATACCATCAATGGGCGAATCGTAGCGCACCTTCATAGCATAGGCGTTTACCATTGGTTCGTAAGAAGGTTCCTCTTCACATGGACGTGGCAAATTGCGTGTATTTATACTCTCAGTTTGGGGCGTGTATGCTAGTGGGCAGCCAATGGGACGCGAGTGATTACATAATGGTGTAATATCATTGGTATGATTAGTCAGTCTTGTAATAACTGACTCGACTTGGCTACGCCTGTTTGGGTTACTCATACTCTCCTTTTTTGGAATGGTTCGAGACATCTTTCCCTGCAGTCATTTTTACTAAAACCAGAATTTTAAGCTAGAATTGGTATTCGATTTAAACAAAAGTTGTTAGAAAAAAGACACAATCAAAGTGCAAATACGCCAGGTAAATGTTGAAAAAATAAAGCAAATTCGTAGTAACTTTGAACATTTACAAATAATTACATTTGAACATTTATTTAACGAATGTTTATTTGGTGGAATAATTGTTGAACTTGTTGCACAATGAATAAACCATAAAAGTGGTATTACTTACGATTAAAAATGGAATTTTCATGAAAAAAAGCATAGAAAAATACTTATGTTTTTCGATTGGCAAGTAGAAATTTTGGAAGTTTGAAAAGTAGTCAACTAATTGTGCCATTGAAATGAGCTAAATAAGACGTCAAAGTACTTGAGATGGCATAAACTACTTAAATCAAGTAACTGGCCAATGAGCTCTGACTCTCAAGGTCGTGAAGGTTGACCTTTGAGACTTTGGGGAAAAAATGGTTAGCCCAAAACGTTCAAATTTTCACTTCCTACTTGACTATGATGTAATATGGTTAAAAGTGGAAACCTTTTGCTTACCTATTGGTGATACCAATAACTTGACAAGACAAATGTATAAGTATGGGATACAAGCCGTAAATAAACAACCTTCTGAATTGTTTTTACGACTATTCCGAAACACTTTTTTACCGAAAGGCGTGAATGCAGGAAGTTGAGGAGGTCCTCTAATTGGACTTCCATTTCTTTTTCATAAATCTTTGCGATAAAATGAGGCTAAAATTAGTGGATGCTGATCATTGTACCAGGAAGGAGGAGGAGGAGGAGGG